CAGACAGACAGACAGACAGACAGACAGACAGACAGACAGACAGAGAGGGAGGGAGGGAGGGAGAGACGAGAGGGGGGTGGTGAGAGAGAAAGATGGCAATTCTCAGGAATACCGAATTTTCCCTGAATTTGGGGATACAATATTACCTTGTAGATAATTCATCACACTCTTTGAAACAAAAAGCACTTTCTATTTACAGGTTCGCAAAAAGGGTTTTGTTATGATAAGTTTCTAGTACGGTAGTATTCTTAATTGTCTTTATCGGTTTTAAAAAAACCTGCAGATCTTCGCAAAAACCCAAAAGAAAACTTGTTAATGCCAACCTAGAAACTAGATGGTAAGTGATTTGAGGCAAAGAAACACACCGAGACATTTCTCTTTAGTAGGCCTACTCATTTCAGACACTGTTTTGTTAAGATAAGATAATAATGTACAATGATTTAGAAAGTCTGCGTAGATCGTATCTTCAACTGAACTCTTCTCCTATAACGACAAAACTACTATTTTGAGAATTCGAATCCCATACCTCCTTGTTAAGGCCAGATTTGTTTTCCAACAACACCACAGCAAACCGGGATGAACTTTTCACACCAATTTGCTTAGCCTTGCAAAATGGCAGCACTAGCTTAGAGCAAAACGCATTGGTTCAGTTCATTTCGTCAAAGCAAAGCATAGTTGGGGAAAATGGGGGGAGGGGGGGGAGTCACCGGGGTAGGGTCAACCTTCACAAGACAACGAATTTTCGTACCCTCCAGCCTTTCTCACGCTTAAGTCACAACACTCAGACAGCACAGGTGGTTAATTGAATAGTTGTTACTCTTTTCTCCGTGAGGGTCATCTTTGTCATCAATACTGTAACTGCCTACTGCTTTGTGGAACTGTCCAAATCAAGCTCATCACTGCTATTGAGTGGCTTAACAGTAACGATAGCTATACACAGTAGCACGAATAAAACTGTGTGTCTGTATGTATGCAGAAAGGGGGCATGAAGGTGGGGGGAGATCATAGCACGATTAATGTATCCTAGTCTTTCGTAGTGAGTAAATTGGGACAGGAAGATAGTATTGTGACAATTGACAGGAGAGTTAAAGAAGCCGCAAGCTGTGTGCTCATGTCTGCTATTCGCCTTCAGTGAAAACTTCATAGGATTTTCACACGAGAATGATGGTGTGAAAGGTAGCACCGAATCCCAGTGAAATGATCTGTGTCCAAAAATGCCCTCCCCGGTTGTGTTTAAAGTGAAAGCTACATATTATCTCATTCCACCATATTTTTCGGCTCCCTTTGTCGGCTTTTTTCCTTTTTTTTATCTCTCCCATACACACAACTCTCTCTCTCTCTCTCTTTCTTTCTCTCTCTCTCTCTCTCTCTCTCTCTCTCTCTCTCTCTCTCTCTCTCTCTCTCTCTTTCTCTTGCTATTTCCGTCTTTTTCTTTATCTCTCTCCTCCTTTTCCTTTTCCTCTCTCTCCTCCTCCTCCTCATCGCCCTCCTCAATGTGTATGTGTTTTTCTATGTGTGTTTGTTTGTGCATGTGTGTGTGGGCGTATGTGAACGCGCACTAGTGCGTGAATGCCCCCCCCCCCCTCTTTTTCAGACAATGGCCTGTATTTATATACATTTTCCATTCTGTATCAAATAATTATATTACACCCGTCTAATAGCACCTAGTTGGAATCCGGCTGTGGCGGCATGTTGTAACTTTAACAGGGAAATTCGAGAGAGAGAGAATTTTCCTCTTTCCCTCTCTCCCAGTCCTACAGCGGATAGACTAAAGCATGTAGAATAGTCTTTTTGAGCTCAATACAAATAAAGAAGCAGGCGTGACCAAAAAAAGCCCCGCCTACTTGGGCAAAATTATCTTTACCCTAACATAGGAAACAAAAGAAAACGGAAAAGCAATATCTCTTTGGTATAGATTATAAATATGACGTATAAATGCTCGACAGGTTGGTAAACAAAGGAAAGCAATGTCATTTACATGACTTCTAGAGGAGCGATCACAAGATTGTGTCAATGAGCAGGAAACGATGACGCAGGTTTTGCCAAAACGGGAAGAGACGATAACAATGCACGGCAAATCCCATCAGGCCAAGTGCTTTCACAGTCTATTTTAAGTAATGTCAATTAGTTTGACATTTTACATTATGATTAGTTTGACATTTTACATTATGAAGCGTGTTAAAAGCTCTGAATGTCTCAGCTCCAAATGTTCACCCAAATTTCATCTATGGGGATTGATATAAAACCTGTTTGTTTGTTGTTTTTTTTACTTTGTTTTGTCTTTCTCAATTTTATTTCAAATCAAGAGTATTTTTTTAAAGTCGCTGTATGTTTAGACCTTCTTGGCCCGAGGGCACAGGATCCAATACTCTGATGAAAAGGAAATACTGCAGCGTCTGTAGTATTATATTATTACGAGTTTCTGAAGATTTAGGGTTCTCAGCTACGCTAGAGACGGAGTGGGTAGATGCCGCAGAAGAAGGGGTCCCCTCTCCAATTTGTGATTCTGGGAACCGAAATCGAAGCTACAAGTTTCCAAAATCAGCGCGGTGCCTCCCCCCCAAACCCCCCAAAAAATATTTCTCTTTCTCAATACAAAAAAGGAGGGAGAGATAATTCCCGGGGGGACGCGTTGGGTGTTTTTTTTTTTCTGTTTGTGTGTGGGGGGGGGGGGGGTGTTTGCCCTTTTTTGTGTTTGTTTTTCGTTGTTCCGTTATGTTTTGTTATGTTGGGGGGGGGGTGTTGGGGGGGGGGGTTCAATGCTTGAAAGTAAGAAAAAAGAAAAAATCCTCTCTTCTTTTTTCCCATAACTTTGTCAAGTGGTGGAGGAATAATCTTTGGTCCCCATAAATAATATGTCAACAAGTAGCGAACAACTGCGATATTCTCAGGACATAATAGAACACGGTCAAGATGATAAGGGGTAAGAACGACATAGAGTTGTTACTGTCTCTTTTGGTAAGTTTCACAACGCTCGTGACAGCGTAAGTTCACAATGACAGGAGCGCATACTGCTACTTAAAACAACATGTGGATGAGAACTTTCTTCAAAATGAGCCTGTTAGCCGCTGGGGCGCTGCAGTTACTATTTTGATACACGCTGCGAAAGGTCGCGGTTCCAATCAGATATGGGCTGCGGATTGTTTTTCTCTGCCCAATGTCTTGTGTGCCGTCAAAGTTACTAACATTATGTCAGAAGAGGCGTTTACTACAAGGCCATCACAACCAAAACAACAAGGTAAGCCAAACGTTGCTCTCATTTCTGATTAAGTATGTGTTAGCTGAACCCGCAATCTCATGATAAGAAGTCTGGAAGCATCACTACATTGTACTTGACTACTGACGCGGGTGGTTGATGAGGTTTGCTCCTTCTTTCCTATCAAACATCTATCGTTCTGATCTCTCCTCCTTCTGTGTCTGTTACTCTCTTGTGACGCTTTTAATTTCCGGCACTTATATGATCTTATTGAGTCGCAATAAGTGCCGTAAAACCCATACTAAATTTTGTTTCAAAGACTACTGACGCCACAAAAGCACATAGTGTGTAGGCCAGCTGGTTATACACATCGCCGCCGGATGCACAAATATCGGGCATGTAAACTTGTGCTAGCACAGTGCGAGTAAGAGAGGGCGCACGCACAAGCTACAACTAGATCTACAATTCTACAGCTATTATATAGTGGTTATTACGTAAAACAATGAGAGATAAGACAGTACTGTTCCCAATAACCCAGTGCAGGTCCCTGTTTGGGTCCTAGGACTAGTAAAAAGATAAAGAAAAAGAACGAGTACCAGTCGAAGATAATTACACAGGATTATAACACGCAGCTAGAAGAAAGACTATTATATTATTATACAGTAGAATCTCCCCAAGACGGCTCTCCATTGTAGAAGGTAAAAGAGGTCATCTTAGGCAGGTGGCCTAGTCCTCTTGGACAGAGTCATAATAATAATAATAAACGCAAGGGGTAAAGTGGAAAATCTATATTTCATGTGGTTGTTTTGGACAGGTGGTCGTTAGGGTAGGTTTACTTTTGAGTATTATAGTATCGTTCATTCTGTTTTACACCACTTCACGCATGTTCGTTGGTTTAATATGAATTCGGTGTCTTTGGTGTTGCATTTCAGCTCCTCGGTGTTTCACGTAATTTAATTTTTTTTTGTTAGAGTTTAACGCCACTTTCAACACAATGAGTGCCGAAGATCAGAGGTGCTACAAGAGAGCAACAAACACGAAAAAGAAAGAGGAGAGTTTTTTTTTAAAAAACTAGGTTTTTGGTTAAAAAGAAGGAGCAAACCACACCAGAGCGCTCGCCAACCACCATTCACGTAGAACACTTGAGTTTGCTTTGAGCATTACGGTATTTTGTCCTCAGATTCAAAGCAGCCCTTCTCCTACTGGGTCTCAATCGTGTCACCCTTAGATAGAATCTTGCGAATATTCAGATTTTGTATGTTACCTTTGCGGAAATAATAGCTCTGTCTAAATGTGCCGTGTTAAGAATGTTTATATTATTTTCTATTTCAAAGTTGAATCGTTATCATCTCTGTCAA